CCCCCAAAAAAATGGGATCTGGAGTGTGAGTTTTTATTCCCAGAGAATAAAGGCTGGGAGTTATCCCGGCCCCCGGGGTGAATTTTTAGTGTTTAAGGGTTCCGAGGTGATTTAGTCCCTGCAATTCCAGGGCTTTGTGGAGCAGCCTCCTGGAATTCCCAGCGCTGGAATTCCCCCACTTTCAGCATCCCGCTTTTCCAGCTGCTGGATATTCCTTAAGCTCGCTAATAAAGCAGCTCAAAGCAAAGCAGGGAATTATTATTGTTATTATTATTATTATTATTATTATTACTATTATTATTATTATTATTATTATCATCATAATCATCATAATCATCATAATCTTCTTCATTATTCATTATTCATTATAATTATAATTGTAATTATTATTAAATGTATTATTTATTATTCATTATATATTATTTTTATTCATTTACTATTATCCATTATCTATTATCTATTATCTGTTCTCTATTATCTATTGTACTATATATAATATTAATTATATAACTTAATATTATATATAATATGTATTATATATTGTTATTATTATATATTATATATATTATATATTATTATTTATTACTATTTACTATTATTATTATTATCCCAGCTTGTCCTGCAGTTACTCTCCACAAGTCACAAGGATTAAAACCAATTTCTCATGGAAAAATAACAAATCCTGGAGAATTCCCAGGTGGGAGCAGTTCCCAAAGATCAGAGCTGGATCGATCCCGCATCATTCTGAACCTCTGGCATCTTCTCAGCCAGGGGAGGTTTTAAAGTCACCCCATTCATTCAGGCTTTGGTTTCATCCTAAAAATTCTCTTTATTCCCTTTGCTTCCAGTGTGAAAATAACAGGAAACTGAGTGGGATCTGAACCCCTGGAAATCCCTGGAATTCCGTCTCCTGAGCCAGTTTTGGGCAGCAGCATCAGCATTTCCCATATTCCTAATTATTCCCTGGTGTTTCCCTCCCCCGGCTGTTTCAGTCTCTGTTTGGGATTTTCCAAACAATATTCCCAAAGGTAACTTTGGAAGGAATATTCCCATTTATCCAGTGCATTCCTGTTTCAGAGTATTTTCCAGCTGGCACTTCCCTAGCACAGGGCTCTACTCTGGGATCCTCCTGCACAGCAATTCCAACTTCATTCAATCCACTGGCATTAAAAATTCCAGGTTTCATTCCCGGCTCTGGCCGAGTTTCCATTGGGGCAGTGCCACCCCCCCACATGAACATCCCCAGCAGGAGACTTCTCCCTTTTCCCAGCTTTTCCATCCCTTCCCAGACAGGATTTCTCCAGGTAATTCCTGCTTCAGGAACCGACTCCATCTTCCCAGCCACTGAAAAAGCTGAGTCTGCTCCGATTCCAGCAGCTCTGGAAGCAATTCCCACGTTCTTTTATTGGGAAGGGAAGTTGAGCTGGATTGTACATTGGCATTAAAGGAAATAAATGGGGTTTTGGGAAGGAATTCCTGGCTGGGAGGGTGGAGAGGGGCTGGAATGGAATTCCCAGAGCTATGGCTGCCCCCAGATCCCTGGAAGTGCCCAAGTCACTTCCACAGAGAAGGGATCCCTGGGATCTGGGATCTGTGGGATAAGGGATCTGTAGAATTCTTGGGATATGGGATCTCTGGGATAAGGGATCTGTGGGATGTGGGATCTCTGGGATATGGGATTTCTGGGATATGGGATCTCTGGAATAAGGGATCTGTGGGATGTGGGATCTCTGGGATTGGGAACAGCCTGGGATGTGGGAAGGGGGTGTGATGGGATGAGCTCTCAGGTCCGTTCCCTGCACCAGGAATTCTCAGGGAAGAAGACAAACCCTGGGAATTGGATCCCAAGCCTCAGCAGAGCCCAGGACATCGGGGGAAGAGGAGTCCTGGGAGGAGCCAGGGAGCGATTCCTGGCTGGAATGAGGGAGCTGGGCCTGAGGAGGGAATGTGTCAGCGCCTGGGTCGGGCGAGGACAAGGCAGCGCATCCATGAAAAATTCCAGCTGATGGAAGGAAGAGCTTGGGATGAAACATCCCCACAGGAATCCAGCAAAGCTCGCCGAGGCTCCGCGCTGGACTCAGGGAATTTGCTGCCCCCTTCATCCCACAGCTGGGGAAAACCAAGGGAAAAGCACTCGGGAAAAAGGGGCTTGAGAAGAGCTCGGAATCACACAGGGAATTCCACATCGGGAAAAAACGCTGCTCCGGGTGGATCTGGGAAACAGGAAAGGCGCTTCCCATGTCCCTGAGCCAGGGCCGTAAGAGCAGATCCCGATTTTCAGCATCCAGTGATTTTGCACATGGATTTTTCACCTCAAATCCCTGCACAAATCCCAGATCCAGCTGAATCCCTTCCCTGGCCTCACTCCCAGCTCCCATTCCCAGTCCCATCCCTTCTCCTGGGATTTTTCCCTGCCCTAAGGACACACCTGGGCTCTGACCCAGGAGTCCCAGTCACGCTCCCTGCTCCCAAAAATGAGCCTCGGGCCATTGGGTGCCATAATTCCCCCAATTTGCCGTTCCTTGGGAAAGGCTCATTGCCTCCCAATCCTGGTGTTCCACGGGGCGACTCAACCTCTCCAATTCTGGGAGCAGCTCCTGAAAAGCTTTTCCCTGCAGAGATGATCCAGGAGATACCCAAAAACCTGCAGGTATTTTAGGGCCACATGGCCGTTCTCACAGCTGAGGGATCCAGTGGGAAGTTCCTGCAATGGGAGATCAAAGAGCCAGATCCCAGAGGCTGGGAAATCCCAAAATTCTGGAGAAATGAATCCGTATTTTCCCCCTAAAAAGCTATTTCTGTGTCTAATCCCTGTGGGAATTTCTCCAGCTTGGAATCCTGGAATGGTTTGGGTGGGAAGGGAGAGAAAATCATCTTGTCCCCACCCCTGCCATGGGCAGGGATCCTCACACTATCCCAGGTTATTCCAGCCTGGCCTGGGACTTATCCAAGGATGGGGCAGCTCCCCATTTTCCAAACCTCTGGGAAATTTCATAGCCAAGGTGGGAAGAACCCAAATGCCAGGGAAATCCTGGCAGCAGGAGCATTTCCTGGCAGGCGCAGGGGCCTGGCACTGGCTCCCGGTGTTCCCAGAGAAAGGAAAACTTCATTTCTCCACTTGGCCTTCCAGGAAAAGGCTGGGGAGAGGCCAATCAGTGCTGGGATCTCCCATAGAATGGGAGCTCCAGGATTTCCTGGAAGAAGGAAAATCCCAGCACGAGGTACTGAACAAGTGTTTCTCATTCCGTGTCTGGGATCCCTCAGGGATGAGCAGGGAGCAAAGGAATCCATTGGATTCCTGGTGCTGGAAGGTGAATACCTCCCAGGAAGCTCCCTGGAGCTGGAAGCACAAAGGATCCACCCCGCGCCCATTCCCATGTTCCTGACAGATTCTCACCGTGCAGCTCCCCAGGGATGAGGATGGAGCAGGGAAAATGAAGTTTTTCCCCAAAAAAACACAAAGAGCAAATTTCTAGGAAGCAAAAGGAGAAACGCAGGTGGAGGCAGTGACAGCGCATCCCAGGGAAAATCTGTGAATGAGGCTGGCATTCCACCTTTCCCTGCGGGATCAGAGGTCCCGGAGGACTCCCGTCCCTTCCCATTAGATGGGAAAAGGCCCTTCCTAAATCGGAGCTCTGGAGGGATCCAGGGATGGATTGGGACACGGGGACAGGGACAGAGGGACAGGGACACGGGGACAGGGACACGGGGACAGGGATAGGGAAAGGGACACAGGGGCAGAGAGAAGGGACAGAGACACAGGAAGGGAGAGGACACGGAGACGGGGACAGAGGGACGGGGACACAGGGACACGAGGACAGAGGGACAGGGACACAGCGAGTGCCGCCGGCTCCCCGCGGCTCTCGGGAGCTTCACGCGTTATTTGGTACCAACAATGGCCCGAACAATGGGACCTTGGGAACAACAATGGAATTTCGGGAATAACAACGGCACTCGGGAACGGGAGCCTTTTGGGGACAACAATGGCCCTGCCGAGGGACAATGGCCCGGCGGGACGAGGTGTCCCCGCTGCCGGGGCGCTCCCTCCCCGCAGCTGCGGATCCCGCCGGGGGTCCCGGAGGAGCCGCCCTCCCTCTCCATCATTCCCGGCCTTCCCAGGCATCGGGGCGTTTTCCACACGGAAAACCGCAAGGAAAGGGATTAGGATGAGTTTAAAGGGCCGGGAAATTTTGGGATCATTCCCTGCCCCGCTCCCCTGTCCCGAGCCTGGAGAAAGGAGTAGGAAGAAAATGAACTTCGGAAACACCAAATACCATCGTGGCTTGGGAATTCCAGGCTGAGGATCCCAAAGGAATCACTCTCAGGGGTGGGATGGAAAATTCCTTTGGAGCTCCAGAAAGATCTGTGGCAATAATTTGGGGTTGATTTTCCCCCTCTGGAGACGGCACCGAGTTCTGCCTGCTCCGGCTGAGCCCCTCCTGCAAATCCTTGGGATCTGGGAATAGGGGATCTCTGTGAATCCTGGGATGTGGGATCTGTGGGATGTGGGATTTCTGGGTTCTGGGATCCCTGGGATATGGGATCCATGGGATCCCTGGCATATGGAATTGCTGGGATATGGGATCTCTGGTATCCATGGATTCAAGGATCTCTGGGATCCCTGGGATTTGGGATCCCTGGGATACGGGATCTCTGGGATTCCTGGGATTTGGGATCTGTGAGATGTCGGATCCCTGGGATTTGGGATCCCTGGGTTCTGGGATCTCGGATTTGTGGGATCTGTGGGATCTGGCACTCCCAGATTTGCACTGAAACTCCCGCAAACTCCAATTTATCACTCCAGGAACACCCTTTGCCAAAGGAAAGTGTTTGGGAGATCCAAAGATCCAGTGAAAGATTCTGCTCCAAGATTCCACTCCAAATCCAGGGAATTCTGACTCCAGCACCATTTTCCAGCATCCCATTTTCCAGCATTTTCCCACTTTTTGGAAGTTTTTCCAGCTGGAGAATTACCCAATAAAAGACCTGAGGCCCAAAGGTTCATAGAAATCCCACTTTTAATCATGGACAAATTGACTTTCAAGTAAAATCAAAGGTTTTAAATAAAATATAAATTACCAGAGGACTCGGCAAGACCCTGTGCACATTCTGCTCCGCTTTTCCAGATCTCTTCACATTCCCGGAGTTTCTGGGAGGTCTCTTCATGATTATGGAACAGAAATTAGGGATTGAAAGCAGCGACCGGTCCCACTGGGAGGGTGAAGCTTCCAAGGAAAAAGGAGGGCGCGGAAGGGATGGAAGCAGTTTTTTTATGGAAGCACAGCATTGGATGCGAGGGATTTTCCTTCTCCATCCCACGAGTGATTCCAGAAGGGAAAAATCACAGAAAATGTCCTAAAAGAGTTTTTTTTTTCCTTGTTTTTGGAACTTCTTGTTCCTTGAGACTCCAAAGTGAGAGCAGGGATGGCAACGCTGGAATCCGGCAGGAAAATCCAAGTTCATCCTGGGATTTCAGCCTCTCCCAAGGGTGGGAACTCTCCCGCATGCCCCAAAGTGCAACATTCCCAACAAAGTCATTTTTTGGCATTTTTCCCTCGCCACCCCATTTCCCTGGAATTCCCAAGCCTGCCTGGAATTCCCAGCTCCACTTCTCCAAGGGGCAAAAAAAGGAGGAACCCTGAGGCAAAAATGGCTTTTTTTTGCGTGTGTGTGTGGATGAATCGTCCATCCCGGAATGTTATCCCGGGATTTTCGGGGCGGGGAGCCCCTCCTGGATCCAGAGGGCCGGGGAGGCGCCGCTGTGGAGCCGGCAGCGATGGATGCGGCGCAGCCGGAGCAGGTAGAGCAGGATGGAGAGCAGCACCACCAGGAAGCAGGCCAGGAATAGGTAGTGGTTGTACACGAAGGAAAAGCTCCTCCAGCGTGAGTGAATCCCACGGAAATTTTCCTGCTGGATGTCCCTGGGAAAGAGCAGAGGGACAACGAGCGCACTTTGGAGGTGAAATTCCGCTTCCAGCTCGGGAATCAGAGCTCAGCTGGTGGACCAGGCTCTAAAAAGCATAATTTGAGGCTCTAAAAAGCAAAAGTTCCCATCCCCAAAATTCTCTCCCAATGGATTTTCCCAGATTTTTGAGAGGATGTTCCTGGAAAAGAACAAAGGGACAATGGCCACTTCTTAGAGGCAAAATTCTGCTTCCAGCTTGGCTCAGGGCAGGAATCAAGAGCCCATTTTGGGAAAACAGGCTCCAAAAACCACAAGTTGAAGGATCACCACCTCTTCCCATCCCAAAATTCCCCTCCCAAAGGCTGTTCCCAAATTTTTGAGAGCCCTGGGAAAGAGCAGAGGGACAACAGCCACACTTTGGAGACAAAATTCCACTTCCAGCTTGGCTCAGGGCAGGAATCAGAGCCCGTTTTGGGAAAAGAGGCTCCAAAACCCAGGATTCGAGGGATCAGCGCCTCTCCCCATGCCGGAATTCCCATTCCCGAGGCTGTTCCCGATCTGGGGGTACCTGAGGGGCAGGAAGCGGGTGCGGTACAGGATGGCCCCCAGCGTCCACTGCACCTCCTTGTCGTAGACCTGCAGCGCCGTGCGCAGCCGCCCATAGCTCTCCGGGAAGGAAAAGCCCCGGTGGAAAACCTCGAACATCCAGGCGGACTTAAAGCACTGGAACCTGCAGAGAAGAGTGGGATCAGGCTGGGAAATGGGATCGGGCTGAGAAATGGGATCAGGAACACTAGGATCAGTCAGGAACACTGGGATCAGTCAGGGACAGTTGGATCAGGGACAGTGGGATGAGGAACAGCAGGATCAGCCACGGAGAACGGGATAAGCTCAGCTCAGCATTCCAGCAACCACGGGGCACAATTAAACACAGAATTCTCAGCTTTTCCAAGGCATTTTTCCCCAATTCCCAGGCTTTTCCCAAGCTTTCTTCCCCACTTCCAAGGACCCCACAGAAGGGCCAGGCCCAGCAGCCAGGCCGGAAGAGGTTCCTGAGTGGATCCCAGGCTGTTCCCAGGTGGATCCTGAGCAGATCCCAGGCTGTTCCTGGGGTGTTCCCAGACTGCTCCTGGGCGGATCCTGGGCAGTTCCCAGGTGGATCCCGGGCTGTTTCCAGGCAGATCCCAGGTGGATCCCGGGCTGTTCCCAGGTAGATCCCAAGTGGATCCCAGGGTGTTCTCAGACTATTCCCAGGTGAATCCCAGGCTGGGCACTCACTTGAGGCGGTGCAGATCTGCGTGCGGCGCGTAGAGCCCACGCTGGAAGCGCTCCCGCAGCACTGACCAGCTGGTGGCACAGTAATCCTGCAGGAGAGCAAAAACCCAGGAAAACTGGAATGGTTCTGGCATTCCCTGAGCCCGGAGAAGGAAAATCCCACCCGAGAAAATGCTCTGGAACAGCAAAAACCAAAAAGTAACAGCAGCTTGTGCTGCCAGTGAGGGAGAGCCCGGATTTCCTGGTAATGGTTTAAGCCATGTTTGGAATTTGGAGTGGAATTAATGGAAAAATCTCTGGGAATAACCTATCAGGCAGATCCCAAATTTCCTGGGAATGTTTTGAGCTATGCTTGGAATTTGAGGTGGAATTAATGTGAAATTCTCTGGGAATATCCAGTCAGGCAAATCCCAGGTCTGAGGAACAGAAAAGCCCTGTGAGAGTTCAGGGCAGGAAATTTGGGATTTCTTAAGGAATTTGGGATTTTTTAAGGAATTTGGGATTTCTTAAGGAAAAGCTTTCCTGCAAGACTATGGGAAGAAACTCCTTGTGGAAAGATATTTTAAATCAGGAGTTTATCCCTGATTTTCACTTTTGCAGCTTTAGTGACTTTAGGAATTTGGGCTCTCTTAAGATATTTGGGGTCTCTTAAGGAAAAGTTTTGCTGGAGGACTTTGGGAACAAAATCCTTCTGGAGAGATGTTTTAATGAGGGAATTGATCCCAGTTTTTTCCCTTTGCAGCTTTAGTGAATTTAGGAATTTGGGATATTTTAAGGGAAAGTTCTGCTGCAGGACTTTGGGAACAGAATCCTTCTGGAGGATTCCAGGCCTGGAGCATTCCCCACCTGGGCAGCCCTGGCGAACTTGGCGGCGCTGTAGTCGCCGCCCATCCTCAGCACGTCCTCGGTGCAGTAGTAGAACTCGGAGAATCCGTAGAACTCGCTGCTCTGGAAGTGCACGGGCGGCTGGAAGACGCCGTTCAGGGAGCCCCGGCTGTCCTGGCTGCGGTTCAGCAGTGGCTGCAGCAGCTCCCGGCAGCGCCCAAAGTCCCCGGAGCCACGCAGGTGCAGTGTCCGCCCGTGCAGCCGCAGCTCATCCAGCGCGTCCCGCGGCAGGCACGGATCCGGCAGCGGGAACTGCGGGCTGCGGAACAGGGAGAGCCTGGGAACCCTTCCCTTCCCTTCCCTTCCCTTCCCTTCCCGCCCCTTCCCTTCCCGCACCTTCCCTTCCCGCCCCTTCCCTTCCCGCACCTTCCCTTCCCGCCCCTTCCCTTCCCGCACCTTCCCTTCCCGCCCCTTCCCTTCCCGCACCTTCCCTTCCCGCCCCTTCCCTTCCCGCACCTTCCCTTCCCGCCCCTTCCCTTCCCGCACCTTCCCTTCCCGCCCCTTCCCTTCCCGCACCTTCCCTTCCCGCCCCTTCCCTTCCCGCACCTTCCCTTCCCGCCCCTTCCCTTCCCGCACCTTCCCTTCCCGCCCCTTCCCTTCCCGCACCTTCCCTTCCCGCCCCTTCCCTTCCCGCACCTTCCCTTCCCGCCCCTTCCCTTCCCGCACCTTCCCTTCCCGCCCCTTCCCTTCCCGCACCTTCCCTTCCCGCCCCTTCCCTTCCCGCACCTTCCCTTCCCGCCCCTTCCCTTCCCGCACCTTCCCTTCCCGCCCCTTCCCTTCCCGCACCTTCCCTTCCCGCCCCTTCCCTTCCCGCACCTTCCCTTCCCGCCCCTTCCCTTCCCGCACCTTCCCTTCCCGCCCCTTCCCTTCCCGCACCTTCCCTTCCCGCCCCTTCCCTTCCCGCACCTTCCCTTCCCGCCCCTTCCCTTCCCGCACCTTCCCTTCCCGCCCCTTCCCTTCCCGCACCTTCCCTTCCCGCCCCTTCCCTTCCCGCACCTTCCCTTCCCGCCCCTTCCCTTCCCGCACCTTCCCTTCCCGCCCCTTCCCTTCCCGCACCTTCCCTTCCCGCCCCTTCCCTTCCCGCACCTTCCCTTCCCTTCCTGCACCTTCCCCTCCCCTCTCCACACAACATCCAGGATCATTCCCATCTTTTCCCACTGTCCCAGGCTGCTCCACCCTGGCCTTGGAAACTCCCAGGAATCCAGAGGCAGCCACAGCTGCTCTGGGAATTCCATCCCACCCTCATATTGGGAATTCCTTCCATAAATCCAACTTAAATTTCCCCTTTTCCAGCTGAACGCATTATCCTTGTCCTGTCGTTCCAATTCCTGAGGACAAATCCCTCTCCACTTCCCAGATTTTCCCTTCTGGAAGTACAGCGATCTCTCCACACAACAAACATTCCCATCATTGCAAGGCCACCTCTCATTATCCCAGGCTGCTCCAATCTGGTCCCAACCTCTCCCAGGGGATGAAGCAGGCCGGAATTCCAGAGGAATTCCAGGGAATACCTGTTCCCCAGGAGGCTGCCGGAGAAGAGGCTCTCCTCGTATCTCCTGCGGGCTGCATTCCCACCAAATCCCAGGAATGTGGCCACGTAGACGCGGTACACATGCTCCGTCTGGTGGGCGTCGCATCCCAAATTAAATTCCGCCAGCAAACCCTTGGCCACCTCCTCCTGCAGCAAAACCAGGAACCGTCGGGATGATCCCAAGGATTTTTTGGGATGTTTCAGATGCCTTTCGATTCGCCCCTCACTCATTTAACACTTCCCTCTCCTGCTTCCAGAGGGGCTGGAGCGAGGGAATCTCCACGACGTCATGGGATTGCTTGGGTTGGGAAAGATCTTGAAAAGGTTGTGGATCCACCAGTCCTAGGGTGCCACATCCGTGGTTTGGGATATTCCCAGGAATGAGAGCAGCACGCTGCTTCCAAAGCTTTCCCACTCTTTGTCTTTGAGGAGTTTTTCTCAAGGATGATCATTTCCCACATTATTTGGGAAATCCAAGCTTGTTTCAGAATCCAAGATTATTTCAGAGGGAGAGGATGAGGAGTTTTCTTTGGGAATGATCATCTCTCCCATATTTTTTGGGAAAAAAAACAGGATTATTTTATAGGGAGAGCAAAATTGAAGAGTTTTCCTTGGGAATGATCATCTCCAATATTTTTTGGCGGAAAAAACCTCCCAAGCTCCCTTCATAAAAAGGGCAAAAGAAAAGAGTTTTCCTCAGGAATAATCAACTCCCACATCATTTTTAAAATCCAAGATTATTTCCTTGGGAGAGTAAAATCGAGGAGTTTTGCTCTGGAATAACCATTTCCCATATTATTTGGAAAAATCAGTGGGAAATAGGGAAAAAACAGTGGGAAATATGGGAAAATCAGGGGGAAATATGGGAAAACCAGTAGGAAATAGGGGAAAATCAGTGAGAAATAGGGGGAAATCAATGGGAAATACGGGAAAACCAGTAGGAAATAGGGGACAATCAGTGAGAAATAGGGGAAAATCAATGGGAAATAGGGAAAAACTGGGAATGGGATGGGATGGAGGATTCCAAATGATGGGAAAGAAAGGAAAAGGTGTGAAAATGATTCCCGAGGGAAGAGGAATTCCGGGATGGGGCTTACACTCGGGGGCACCTCGTAGGCGATCTGCGTGGAGACCCCGCCCATGTCCAGGATTCCCACGGTTCTCTTCCGGAAAATGGGATCGCGGTGCTCGCTTCCCGGGATCTGCACCTCCACCACCGCCTCGGCCTCTGGAACCGGGAAAATCAGTGGGATACAGGGAAAAATCACTGGGATATAGGGAAAAATCACTGGGAAATAGGGAAAAATCCCTGCGCTCGCTTCCTGGGATCTGTACCTCCACCATCACCTTGTCTTCTGGGAAAAACATGGGAAAAATCACTGGGATACAGGGAAAAAACAGTGGGAAATAGGGAAAAATCACTGGGAAAATCACTGGGATACAGGCAGGGAGGGAAAATGGGATCCTGGTGCTGAATTCCTGGGATCTGCACCTCCACCATGACCTTGTCCTCTGGGGAACAGGGCAAAGCAGGGAAAACAGAGAAAAATCACTGGGATACAGGGAAAAATCACCGAGATATGGGGAAAAATCACTGGGAAACAGGGAAAAAAACTCTGGGATACAGGGAAAAATCCCGGGATCCAGCCAGAGGATGCTGCTTGTGGCTGTTAAAGCTTCAGGGGGGAGTGGAGCCACCCCAGCCCCTACAGCAGCTGCCAACATCTGGCTGGAAACGCATCCCAACATCTGGAAAGGCAATTCCCAGGGCTGGAATTGCATCCCAACATCTAGCTGGAAAATCACCACGTGGAGCCTCCCTTCAGCTCCTCACCATCATCCGTGTGCTCGAATCTTCCAAGGACAAAGTTGATCCCAATCCATGCATAGACTCCTGCAGGTGGAAAAAAGCTGGATCTGGAATTCCAGGAATGTTGGGAAGAGCTGGATCATGGCAAATAGAAATGTCTGAATTTCTTTTCTTGTCTTTTCACTCTGTTCTTGCAGCTTTTTATTTTATAAAATGATAGAAGTGAAACATTCCTGGGAAGTGGTTAAATTCCGAGAAATGCGGAATTCCAGGGGATTCTCTCCTCTCCCAGGTCAATGCCAGGATAAAATTCCTGCCTGGATGAATTGGAGACTCTTTGATGTGTAAAATTCAGGGAAGGAATGGAGGGAATGGATTTGAAAGGGGATTTCAGGCTCTTGTGATGGCCCCAAGAGATCTCAGCCTTCAAAGTCATCCTGCAAATTCTATTGGGAATGTTGTGATTTATCCTTTCCCCAGAAGAAATGGATTCGAGTCCATGAAATTTTCAGGGATAATCAGCAAGGATTTGGCCAATCAGCATTTGAAAAAGCAACAAAAATTCCCCAAATCATCCCTTGGAATTCCTAAATATTTTTCCAGATCCAATTCCATGAAATTTTCGGGTATAATCAGCAAAGATTTGTCCCATCAGGAGCTCATCCCCACACTCAGATCTGCTGAGGAACAAAGGCTCTCAAGCAAAGCAGGATTTTCAAAAACAACCAAAACACCCCAAAAATCATCCCTGGGAATTCCTAAATATTTTCCAGGTATTTTTCCAAGGTTCACCTACCCTCCTGCTTCCCAGATATCACCTCAGCATGGGAGTCAGAGAAGAGGAAATCAAAGCGTGTGGGGATGTCTGTGAGCAGATCCTCCAGGATGGCTTTCTGCTGGCTGCAAAATTCCATGGAAAAAGGCTTCAAACCCAGCCAGGCTGGTGGTGGGAATTCCCAAAAAAAAAAAAAAAAGGCGGGAATTACCTCTCGGGCAGGATGCGCATTCCCGCCGTGCACAGGATGTAGAGAGGAGTCTCCTTGTGCTTGGAGCGCGGGACGTGTGCGGCAGCGAAGCTCAGCAGGGGCGAGATGTAATCACTGACCTCGGCGGGAGAGCTGGCAAACTCTGAAATTCCTGGGAAAACACAAACCTGCTGCTGGAGCAGCTCCGGCTGCCGCATTCCCTGGAAAATCCCGACAGGAACGGACAAGGCAAAGTGGGAAATGGGCTGTGGGAATGATGGGATTTTCCCATTGCTTCCTCTCCTGACGGCACTTCCCGCGCTCCCAAGGATGTTTCCAACACGGAGCAACTCCAGGTTTTTTTGGGATTGGTTTGTAGGGAGTTAAGTCTGGAATGAGGAAGGAGGGAGAGGTTTTTCCATGGGACAGCAACAGGAAAAGGTGATGAGGAAAATGAAGCCAAGTGCTGGGAAAGAAACATGGAATTTCCTCTCCTAGCTCTGCTTCCTGAGCTCCAGAGTGCCTGGATAAGGGATATATCCTGGGAAAAATCTGCTCCACATGGGAATTCCTGCAGGCTTTCCTCTCCTACCTGAGTTTTCTTCACTCCAGAGTATCAGGATGAGGGATATTTCCTCGAGCATGAAACAGCTCTGGGGTTTTCCAATCACTTTCCAGGAGCACGGGGACTAAATAAAGAGAATGAAGGGAGACAGTGTAGCTGCTCCATGACCAAAAAATGGAAATATCCCTTATCCAGCCACTCTGAAGTGCAAGAAGCAGAGTTAGGAGAGGAAATCATGGAGAAATGCCATGGTTTTCCCAGTACCTGGCTTGATTTTCATCACCACCTTTTCCTGTTGCTGTCACATGGAAAAACCTCTCCCTCCTTCCTCATTCCAGACTTCAACTCCCTGCAAACCAATCCCAAAATCCATGGAGCTGCTCCGTGCTGGAAATATCCCTTATCCAGACACTCTGGAGCACAGGAAGCGCAGTCAGGAGAGGAAATCATGGAGAAATTCCCAAATTTTCCCAGTACCTGGTTTGATTTTCATCACCACGGGTTTCCTGGAGCTGTCCCTCATCTGCTGGATGTCCAGCAGGTCCTTGGGGTTGCCGTTATGCCGGGGCCAGCAGTACACAAACACACGGGAGCCGCTACTGCCGCAATCCACCACAATCCCGTAGTTCAGGTTGGGATTCCCAGTGTCCGTGGCTTCCGTATCCGTCACCCTGGCCAGGAATCTGAGAAAATAAAAAAAAAAACGGGAATTGCTGCAGGGAATTCAGCTCCCTATGGGTGATTTTGGTCAAAATTAGATTTAAAATTGGATGTTTTCTGGCAGAATTTTCAGGGGTTTTCCCTGTTTCCCATGGACTCTGTTCCCTGTTTTTCCCATGGAATTCCTGCCCCTCACCTGTGGAATCTCCCATCCCGGGGTTGGTCCCATAGGAGCTGAGCAGTGTTTTTTCACCAGGCTCCATTCCCAGTTTCCCACGGAATTCTCTCCCTGTTTTTCCCATGGGATCCATTCCCACTGACCTGCACTCTCTCCCATCCGGGGGCTGTTCCCACAGCAGCAGCAGAGCAGCATTCCCCCTTCTCTAGAGCCCCATTCCCTGTTTCCCACGGGACCCATTCCCTGTTTTTCCCCTGGGATCCATTCCTGCTCACCTGTGCTCTGTCCCGTGGTGGGGCTGTTCCTTCAGCAGCAGCAGAGCAGCGTTCCCCCTTCTCCAGAGCCCCATCCCCTGTTTCCCACAGGACCTATTCCCTGTTTTTCCCATGGAATTCTCTCCCTGTTTTTCCCCTGGGATCCATTCCCGCTCACCTGCGCTCTGTCCCGTGGCGGGGCTGGTCCCGCAGCAGCAGCAGCAGGAGCCCACAGAGCAGCAGCACTCCGGTCGCAGCCCCGGCCCCCAGCAGCAGCAGCCGCCGCCGGCCAGGCGCGCTCAGGAGCCGTGGGGCACCCGCGGGGCAGAGGCCGCAGTGCCAGCAGCCCGGGAGCGGGCAGGAGATGCTGATCCTGCAGGCACAGGGAGACAGGAGCGGATCGAGCGCTGGATTCGCTGCTAAAAACAGGAAAAATTCCTCCCGGCAGCGTGGTGTGGAATTCCCACTCCTGCCCTGTGGCTGGGGGCTGGGCTGAGGAGGGTGATGGATCCCGGGGGATTGGATTTGGGGCTGGAGCTTCTCTTTATCTCCTGGATTTCTTGCAAAGTCTCAGGAAAATCAGAACCAGAAGGGAGAGAAAAGCCTGGCTTGCAATTGAGGGAATGGGAATCTGGGGATGATCCAGGAGAAGTCTGGGGAGAGCTCAGGGCAGTTCCCCAGGGCCTGAAGGGGCTCTGGGGAGAGCTGGGGAGGGACTGGGAACAAGGGATGGAGGGACAGGACACAGGGAACGGCTCCCAGTGCCAGAGAGCAGCGATGGATGGGATATTGGGAAGGAATTCCTGGCTGGGAGGGGGGGGAGGGGCTGGGCTGGAATTCTCAGAGGACCTGTGGCTGCCCCTGGATCCCTGGAAGTGCCCAAGGCCAGGCTGGGATAATCTGGGACAGTAGGAGGTGCCTATGGCAGGGCTGGGATGATCCTTTAGGCCCCCTCCATCCCATCCCATCCCATCCCATCCCATCCCATCCCATCCCATCCCATCCCATATCCCATCCCATATCCCATCCCATATCCCATCCCATATCCCATCCCAAATCCCATCCCATCCCATATCCCATCCCAAATCCCATCCCATCATTCTGTTCTGCACTGAGCGGACTCAGGACACCATTCCCAGGCTGGAATTCACTATCAGATTCCTCATCCTTCACTCCAAAGTCATCCCAGTTTATCCAAGAGTTCCCTCAGGATCCTTACCTGCCCATTTTGGGATGGGGGCAGCAGGAGGAGCCGCTGGAGCCTCAGCCAGTGACCTCAGAGGCACCGGGAACATCCGAACTTCCCGGAGCCATCCCTGCTCTGCTCCTGCGGAAAATCGAGCACCGGTGATTCCCTGCAGTGGGAGATCCCCGGGGGAACAGCTGGGATGGGATCCTTCCCTCAGCACCTGACCGGGGTGAGGGGCTGCTCCTAGGCTCCCCGGGCGTGCAGGAATACAAGGGAAAACAGGAATAGCGAGGCGGTGGAAGCACGGAATCACCTCGTGCAGGGTGGAGAGGGGCTGGGGGGAATTCCCAGGGAAGCCGTGGCTGCTCCCGGATCTCTGGAAGTGCCCGAGGCCGGGCTGGAGCAGCCCGGGACAGGGGAGGCACTGGGGTTGGAAGCGGATGGGATTTAAGCTCCTTCCCACCCAAAGCATCCCGGGATTCTGAGACCCCTGCCACGATCAAACGCCAGCAAAATCCCAAAAGAAATAAGGAAAAGCTGGAATTCCGCCTCAGGGACACAGCCCGGGGCTGTCCCTCCTTCCCGGCCCGGCCGGAGGGAAGATCCCGCCGGAGGAGCCCGAGGGAGCGGAGCCGGTGCCAGGGCGGGACCGGGAACAACGAGATCAGGGATCGGGAGAGAGGGACGGGGAACAGGATCAGGGATCGGGATCGGGATGAGAGGTCGGGATCAGGGATCGGGATGAATGAACAGGATGAGGGATCGGGATGAGGGACCGGGATGAGGGATCGGGATGAGGCAAGGACGGGGCAGGGACACCGAGCGGAACGAGTTCCAGGCCCCCCGCCCGTCCCCACGGCCGCCACCATCCCGCAGGGCCCGGCCCGGCTCCCCCCAAACCCCGCGGCTGCCCGGCGATCCCACTCCCGGTCCCGATCCCATTCCCGGTCCCCATCCCGGTGTCTCCCCCCCTCTCTCTTCCCATTTCACCTCCCCGGCCGCCCCATGGCTACCGGGCCCACGCCACTTCCGGGTGCATCGCCGGAAGTGACGCAACCGCGCAACGTCACGGCGGGGGCCGCGGGGGATTCCCCAGGGGCGTGACCACGATTGATGGGCGTGGGCAAATAGGCGTGGCCATGGCCGAGTGGGCGTGGCCATGCGGGGACCGGTGCGCTGCAGGTAAAAACAGCCAAAAATCGCTATAAAAACAGCCAAAAATCGCCATAAAAAACGCCAAAAATCTCTGTTTTATATATAACAGCGTTTAACGGCAGCAGTAGGAATTTATGGCTAAAAATATTCCAAAATTGAGAAATATATAAAATTTATAGCTATAACTGTGCCAATATTTTGATATATATTAAATGTGTAGCTATAAATGGGTTAATATTTAGAAATACATATAATTTATAGCAAGAAAGGTTTCAATATTTGGGAATAAATTCAATTTATAGCTACCACAGTGCCAATATTTTGAATTATATTATTATGAATATCCAGCGGTATTGTAGCACTTGTGAGAAATACCTAAATATTTACCATATAAAGAATAAATAAATAATTTTGATTTAAAAAACAAAGAAAGGGCGGAAAATCCAAGGGGAAAAGGGGAATTCTCCCCTGTTTTGCCACGGAGCGGCAGCACCGCCCGCACTCGCTCCAAGATTCTTTTGGAGAAATGGCAGGAAAGGTTTCTCGTGGTGAAAATAACGGGAATAAACTCTGGGATTTGCTGGAAAAGCGGAGCTGGGTGTGGAATCCATCCCGGGAGGGGCTTTAGGTGGAGCTGGGCAGGAAAAGAGGGGATTTGGGATGGGAAATTATCCCCAGGAAGGGAAGGAAGAAAAGAATAAGGAAGGGGGAAAAAAATAAGGAAAGGTGATGGGAAAGGGGAAAAGAAAAAAGGGAAGGGGAAAAAGGGAAGGGGAAAAGGGGAAGGGGAAAAAGGGAAGGGGAAAAAGGGAAGGGGAAAAAGGGAAGGGAAAAAAGGGAAGGGGAAAGGAATAATGGAAAGGAATAAGGGGGAAAAGGGAATGGAAAAAGGGGAGGAAAAAAGGAAGGGGTAAAGAATAAAGAAAGGAGAAAGGAAAGTTGAAATAAGAAAGGGGAACAGAATAAGGAATAAGGAAAGGAAAAAGAAAAGGAATAAGGAAAAGGGGGAAAGGAAAAAGGAAAAAGGAATAAGGAATAAGGAAAGGGCAAAGAAAGGAAAAAGGGAAAGAATGGGAAGGAATAAGGAGAAGGTTTCTCTGTCCCGTGAGTCCCGCCCAGGGGCGGCTCAGGGCCGGGATGGGGATCAGAAACCTTGGAGAGCAGGGAAAGGGGGACAGGAGCTGCGGGGGCCGGGAGCACGGAGCGAGGAGAAAAGCCGGACTAGGGATGCAGGGAACGGAAATCTGAGGGATGTGATTCCATTGAGAGACACTAAACCATCCCGCCGGCTGCAATCCCGCTGGAATCCCGCTGGAATCCCGCCTTGGCTGCTGCGAGGAGCGCGGCAGGAAGAGTTTTCCAAGCATTCAACCCCGCTCGCTCCAATTCGGGAGATCCCGGAGCCGATCCGTGCTGGGGTGCTGGCAGAGAGAGAGCCGGAGCAGCGTTTGGGAGTGGGGAATTTGGATTTCTCCAAAGAGGAATCATCTCGTGGACAGGGCCAGGCCACTCCTGTGGCTCTCAAGGTGTGGGGAGGGTGCGGGTCGTTATCTGGGGCCGGCCGGAGCCTCCGGGAAGCGCCGATAGGAGCGGCAGGGGCTGGCGCTGCTGATGGCGGGGAGCAGCCCGGGGCTGCTGGTGGGGTGGGGAGCAGGAGGGGATATTGAGAGCATGGAAGGTTCTCCCAGCGGGATTTTCCTCCCAGCTGTTCTGTGTTTATTCGTTAAAGGGTTCCCGTTTCAAAGCTGGCCAGAGCTCCCGAAGGTGTGCTGGCTTTGGAGTGAATAAAGGGGAATTTTTTCTTTGCTTGTACTGAGGCAGAAGGCTCAGAGTGTATCCATTCCAGCCTTTTCTCCTCACCATCTTTTCATCCCATTTTATACACGTTTATTTGCCCTGAAGTGCTGAAACACATCAGAATTAACCAATTTGACCAAGACCGTGAGAGGGGTCAGGGCAGGGCAGGATCGCAGAATCCTGGAATGGCTTGGGTTGGAAGGAGCTTAAATTCCATTCATCTTCAATCCCAACACCTCCCACCATCCCAGGCTGCTCCAGGCTCTGTCCAGCCTGGCCTTGGACACTTCCAGGGATCCAGGGGCAGCTACAGCTGCTCTGGGAATTCCATCCCAGCCCCTCAACCCTAGCAGGCAAGAATTCCTTCCCAATATCCCATCCATCCCCGCCCTCTGGCAGTGGGAGCCATTCCCTGTGTCCTGTCCCTCCCTCCCTTGTCCCCAGTCCCTCTCCAGCTCTCCTGGAGCTCCTAAAGGGCTCTGGGGAACTGCCCAGACCTCTCTCCCCAGACCTCTCCCCAGACCTCTCCCCAGACCTCTCC